ATATATTAATTTGTGTTCCGAAGATGAACGAAGGCCTTACGGGTTTGAAACGACATGAGGATGAGTAATTAATGACAGAATTTTCATTTTTGGGTGAACTAACCCTTTAAGCAATATTTGAGAGTAAAACGTTTAAAGATCAATGCTATCAGAAAAGAATTTCGAATCGTACTTTTTTGTAAAATGAAAAAATATATTATATATATATATAAACACAGGCATATATATTAGTGCTGTCAAATCGATTAATCGCATCTAAAATGAGTTTGTTTACATGTGTGTGTGTACTTTATATGTATATATAAATACACACACATACATGTATTTATTTAAGAAATATTTACATGTATATATATATATATATATTCATATTTATATTAGTGCTGTCAAAATTAACGCAGGAAATTAATTTTTTTCAGTTTAATGTGTTAAAAATATTTAATGCATTTAACGCAGGGGCGGAACTAGGGTTGGCCACCCCACTCACAACTGCTGCTTCTCTCTTTTTTCTTGACAAGAATTGCGTTTATTTAGACACAGAACGTCTTTACGACCACATCAAACGGGAGACTTTTCAGACATGCGTTCCAACTTCACCTCAGTGCCTGCTGCTGGTCAAACGAGCGCGGAAAAGGTACAGGTGACGAGGGAGCTTCAGTAGAATAACAGTGAACTGCGGTCAGATGAGATGTTGTCAGGCCACAAGGCAGGTAAAAAGAATTTTCCTGTCCTGTCAGCTGTTATACTGTGCTCGTAGCGTGTGCTCTTCAATTGCACACACAAATGCGGTGGCGTGCGCTGTAGCCTGTATAGTTTCACATTAAAGCGCGAAAGTCATAGTTATGTTGTCAGTTAAGTGCATGTATTTATTCTTTATGAGTTACATTTAAGAACATGTCTCTGAAATGCAGAACTGTCCTGGAGCAGCCCAGCACAGTCTCCCTCATCTAACACACCTGATTCAACTCGTCAGCTCATTAGTAGAGACGTTAAGACCTGAAGTGCCTCAGAAAAGGTAAAGAGTTATGAGAAAATATGATGCGTGTCAGATCCGCGTCATGTTCAGCAGCGGCAGCTCTTAAAGCAGCCAAAATAACCTAATAACCCAGCTGCTGTGATGTCTGTTAGTCAAAGAACAAAAGAAAAAAAGAGGACATCAATAACTTTTGTAGCTTTAAGGATTCATCTATATTTAATTTAGAATGTAGTGCTCAACTTTATTCAATGTCTGTATATTTCCTACTTGGAGAAGGCCACAGGTAGCTAAATATGTATATAATTTATTATAATGGGTTTATGTGAAGATTGTTTTAAGTTCACTTTAATTAGAAGTTTTTTTTTAAGTGTTTTTTAAATGTTAAAATTGATAGCTCTCAAATATAGTGCATGGATAAATATTAGATAATTTTTTTTTATTAGAGACATCAGTATTGGTATCAGTGAAACTCAGCTTCAGTCATTAAAAAAAGATGTAATTAACAAATATTATTGCAATATAAAAGTATTTAATAACTTTAATGTTAGGTGGGATGAATCGTGATTAATTTATGAAAAAAGTGATTTATAAATTTTTTTAATCGACTGACAGCACTAATTTATATATGCTTTTTATTATATAT